TGCATTGGGTTGCTAACCACAAGGTCAGCAGTTCAAAGCCATGAGCCACTCCAAGAGAGAATGATGAGACTTTCTACTCCCATAAAGAGTTACAGTCTCAGAAGCCTGCAGGGGCAGTTTTACTCTATTCTACGGGGTGTCTAGGAGTCAAAATTGACTTGATGGCAGTGTTTTCTTTTTTCTTTTGAGCCCTCATGGCGTAGTGAGTGGGTTACACACTGGACTGCTAACCTCAAGATCAGCAGTTCAAACCCAGGAGCCACTCCTTGGGAGAAAGATGAGGTGTTCTACTCCCACAAAGAGTTACAGTCTTAGACGCCCACAGGGGCAGCTATACTCTGTCCTATAAGGTCGATGTGGTGAGACTTCATCTCATGAACTTGGGGCACATTGTCAGGAGAGACCAGTCCCTGGAGAAGGACCTCGTGAAAAGGAGGCAGGCCCTCAGCGAGATGGATTGGCCCTGTGGTGGGCGCCGGCATACGGGCCCAGAGCGGACTGGGCAGTGTTTCGATCTGCTGTGCATCAGGTCTCTATGAGTCGGAACGGACTCGATGGAAATGAGTGGTTTTTCTGGTATTCTCTGTCGCCGAACGTGTGTGCTGTAAGCTGCCAGGTGCTTCTCAATCACAGAGTAATGCTGGTGATATATTTCTATTTATACATAGGTATTTGTGTGTGTGTCACCGTGTGTGTGGAGCTATAAAGCACATCCCTACATGCTAACCTTTTAGAAGTCTAGAACTCAGTGGCATTCTTCCATCGGCAGGTTGTGCCACCACCACCACCACCACCACCACCACCACCGTCTGGTTCAGAATGATCTTTCGTCACACATCAACACTCGTGGCCCCCCAGAGCCCCTGCAGCCACGAATCCAGTTTCTACCGCTATGGATTTGCCCGTAGCACACGTGGCAGTTCCCGGAAGTGGGATCAAACAAAACATTTTCAGGGGACACTCACCCACGCCATCACAGGACTTCATTTGGGGGTGAGGGTGGAGATTATAGTGGTGTCCAGGTACGTACGCGCACAGTCCACCGACATTAATTTATTTCACTCATCCTTTCGCTCAACAGTGTGTGTATATGGCATAGTGGTTACATGCTGGGCTGCCAACTGTAGGGTCAGCAGTTTGAAACTACCAGCCGCTCGTGGGAGAAAAAAGGAGGCTTTCTACTCCCATGAAGAGTTACAGCCTTGGAAGAAACCCGCGGGGGTGGTGAGCAGCTAGTAATATTGCCTGGACAGATAGGCCTCATTGTCCTTCGCCAGTTGAGGGGGGCAGTTGGGTTGTTTGCACTCTGGGGCTCTTAAGAATAATACTGCTTTAAGCATTTTGTGTGCACGTTTTGGCATGGACGGACACTGGCATTTCTCTTTATCTGGACACTTCTAGACGCTTCTCTCAAACATGCTCTCAAGATCAGACAGATGAAGGAACCTGTCCAGAGCCACACAGTCACTTCACCTGTTCTATGTCAGGAGGTTTCCATGGAGGTTCTGGTTAAAAAAGCACAAACCACCCCAAATCCACTGCCATTGAGTGCATGAGAACTCCTACTGACCCTACAGGACAGGGTAGAACTGCCCCTGTGGGATTCTGAGACTGTCGCGCTATGGGAGCAGGTGGCCTCTTTTTTTCTAAGTGCTGGCCATCCCTACACCCTAGGAGGAGCAAAGTAGGGGTTCCAGCTGTGACTTCTTCGATGAACCCTAAAACCATGACATTGAGTGAAAAGATGGTAGAGATGAAGGGACAAATATTGAAATAAGCAAACACCCTGAGGCCAGAGGAGATGATTATTCATCCCCAGGGGTGGGAGGGAGGGGGGGGGAGAGGGGAAGATTCAGCTGGAAAGAGAAAGGGAGTTTTCAGAGAGGCCAGCTAGCCAGGGAGAAGCCCAGAGAACACCAGGCAGAGGAGTAGAATTAGGGCAGACACTGCCTGGCCTCGGTCAATGAACTCAACAACTATATGGAAACCCGGGGCTGGGCTGTGCGTGGGGTGGGCAGGGGGGGGAGGGAGCGGTTGTTTGAAGCAGAGGGTTATTGAGTTTCTGTTCTTGGTGGTGGAATGGTTGGCACCACCTGAACAATGTCTTCAGTGTCTGTCGCTGGATCCATCAGCAACAGTCAGTCTACCCTTCAGGACAGGGTAGGGCTTCCCCTGTGGGTTTCTGAGACTGTTACTCTTCATGGGAGTGGAAAGCCTCCTCTTTCTCCCAGGAAGCGGCTGGTGGTTTCAAACTGCTGACCTTGCAGTTAGTGGCCCACCGTATAACCACTATACCACTGGACGCGTGGGCATTGTTGACTTGGGACAGATTTTATTGTGTCTGTTTTCACTGCCATTAAAAATATATATCTACTTGACTAGAGTTTTTTTGGGGGGAGGGAGTGGGGAGGGAAAGGGTGGGAGGGAGGACACCACTTTACCCTCTGACCATTCTGTTTCAGTTATAAGGGCAAGGATGGGTATGGGGAAAGGGCTGTGTGTTGGCATGACTCCAGGGCCCTTTTATGCAGATCACTCCTTCAGCAAGACCCAGCGCCCCTCTCTGGGCATCTGTTTCTTCAAATGGAAGAGGAGACTCCCAACTTCTGCTGCCCAGAAAGCACTGGATCTCGGTAACCCTGGGTGCTACAGAGGAGCCCTTAGGTGGTATAAATGGCGACCACGTCTCTTGGTTAACCCAAAGTTTGGCAATTCCGTCCCTCCCAGAAGTGTATTGGAAGAAACACCTGGCGGTGGACTTCTGAAATCACTAACCACTGACAGCCCTAACTTGCTGCAGCAAGTCCACTGGAAGGGGACAGGGGCGGCGAAATGCTTACAAGCTAGCCTTTGGTCCCCTTTAGAGTCACAAGGGGAACTGGAGGCGGGTGTTCTGTGCCTTCTCATCCCTTCTGACCCAATGAGGCTGCCACACAGGGGTCTCTGGGGCGCCTGTCACAGTTAGTGTGGCAAATGGCAGGCCCAGCGAGGCAGAGAGTGAGCGCCAGCCCAGGGGGTGGGTGCGGCAGGGGAAACTGAGGCACGGTGCCAGCCCCTCTCTGCCCAGCGTTCAGTATCAACTGTGGAGCAACTTGGAGTCCTTGCTGCAGGATTCCGGGCTGGGGAGGATGGGAAACTGAGTCACAGCCTGCATACTGCAATCTGAAGTCCCCCTACCGGTCCCCCGACCCCAGGTCTGCTGATGGCCTGTTCTCTGGGGGCGGTGTGGAGTGTTGGGGGATCCCAGCACAGCGCTGAGGCGTGTTGGAAGCCTCCTTGGACTCGGGTGCCCCAGGCGGGTGGCCTGGCGGTTTCAGGAAGAAGGGCGAATATTGCCCAGGCGGGGTCGTTGGTACAAAGTCCACGCGGTTCCACCCTCATCCTGGGCCGGTGGCCCCTCCCCTAGCGCCTTCCACCCACCCGAACCGGAACCGCGGGCTGCAGCGTTCCAGGCGTGGGGGCCGCTGGCTTCCCCTCTGGGGGCCTCTGCGGGCTCCCCGTGAAGCCAAATTATTATGACAAAAGCCAATACAACCCGTTTAGGACTTGAAAGGTGCTTTTAATATGTTGGGCTGGGAGGTAATGAAGGGGGAGGGGGGAAGGGAAGGCTTTGAAGTTGGAAAAGGACCGGCAGGGCCGATCTTAAACCACCTTAAACCACGGCAGGGCACGTTATTTGTTTGTTTGTTTTTTCTGGAAGGTAGAAATGGACTTCTAATAATCATCACAGTAACAATAATAATGACAATAGGGTTGGATGTCAGGACTCGGGGATCTAAAAGGACCCGGGACAGAGCCAGCTGCCGCTGAGCGCTCCTGGAAGTGTCAATTCCAGCGCGAGCCGGCAGTCTGGGTCCGAGGCCTGGAGGGAGGGGGAAACTGAGGCCCGGAGGCTCCAGGCAGCCGATGACACAAGCCGACCCTCCCCCAGCGCCTACTGGATGTAGTGGGCGGCCGGCCGGGCCCGGCTGTTCTCACCACTCGGCCTCTCCTCCCCCTCCCCCGTCCCCCTGCAGGACCTCTCCCACGACCGGGGAGGAAGTGGGAGAAACAGGCAGGCAAAGAAAGTTGGGCCGAGCCAACGCCTCCCCACTCCCCACCTCCGCCCCTCTCCAGCCACGCAGACCCCAGCGGGAGCGGCCCGCAGCACCCAGGCGCCTCGGGCAGGGTCCCCTGGCCCGCCCAGCAGCCCGCAGTAGGGTAGGGGCGCTTGGCCAAGCCGGGAAAACAACCGCCCTGACTGCCCCTCGCCAACCCCTTCCCCCGCTACGCCCCTGGCGCAGCGGGTGGAGACGACTCCTTTATATAATCGCAGGAGGGCAGGTTGGCCAAGGAACCGTGGGCATCCAGGCGCGCCCGAGCCGTCGTTCCCAGCACTCCCGTGCGGCTGGGGAAACTGAGGCCCGCCGCGCCCGCACCCCCAACCCGCGCGCGATCAGGCCAGCTGAGACCCACGCCCGTGCGCGTCC